GTTTTTCATAAGATGACAAAATTATCATTTACTCTTTTACCAAATAACTTTTATTAATTATTTTTCTTAAATAATTAGCATTTGTTTTTTTTCTAAAATAACTATTATTTATTATTTTCCTCAAATAGTTTTCGTTTAATTATTATTCTCAAATGTTGATTGAATTTTTTTCCCATTAAAAGATGATAAGATTATCAATATTATTTTCCTTAAATAATTCTAATTTCATTATTTTCCTCAAATAATTTTTATTTATTATTTTCCTCTAATAATTGTCATTTATTATTTTTCTCAAATAGTTCTCCTTAATTTTTAAGTTCCTAATTATTTGTTCATTTTTCCTTTTTAGTTGTTCCTAATTATTTGTCCAGTTTTTCTTTTTTTAGTTATCCCTAATTACTTATCTACTTTGACAAATGAAGAAGAGATTTTTTTTTAACCTATTACACCATCAATTAATTACTTTGAAAAAGGTAAAACTTAAAAATCTTAAATTTTTAATTTATTCACTTCATAATTAATAGAGATAAAATGATAGACTCACTATATCAATAATTGTTTTTTCAATAGGTGTATTAATTAAAAAATGCATAATTATTAGGGATATAAGGAGTATTATTTATCTTAAATAATTATCATTTAAATTTTATCATATATCGCATATTTGAAATCAATTAAAAGTATAACTATTAATTTTTATGTATTTATAACAGGTAAGAACTCCTAATATTTTAATAATTTAAAATTAACTAAAAAAATCTCTATATATTTTCTTATTTGAACTATATTTAAAGTTTTAACATTCTAAGACTTCAAAATTAGTTTTTTACCTTATATAATACACAACAAAATGAGTAAATAATTTTTGAAAAATGAAATAAAGAGGTTTAAGTTTAGTTAAATAATTTTTCTAACTTTCTTTTATGAAAACTTTATCATTTAGATATATATAATATTTATCTTATTATCAAATGCTATTCTAAAATAATTTTTGTCCATTTATACATACAGAGTTTTATAAATTAATAAATTAATGCGAAATACACGTGCAAAATGCATATACTAAATTAATAGTTTTAAATTACAAAATTATTTTGCAATATATTGTTCTAGAACTAATTAATTGTTAGTATAGCTTTTAAATAGATAGTAAAAAGGGAATTCATAAATATTTTTCATTTATATATACTTTTAGACGTAAAATTTATCCGTATTGATGTAGGTAAAAAAATTTCTTCTTCTAGTACTCCTACCAGTTTTGTTTTCGAATTTTATTAGGTTTAAATTAATGTTGCATGTAGTATAACAATATAGTTTTCTTAAAATATACCTTACTTCTTATTGTTTTATATTAAGTAATGCACATGCACAAAGTATGTATACTAAACTAGTCTATATAACTAGAGAATACTAAAATATTGATTAATTTGTCAATATAATGGGTGTTAAAGACTATAAGCATGGAAGTTTTTTCAAAATTTGAATTAAAATATGAAAGAAACACTATTATAAGTTTATAATAGATCGTAGTTTGAGTGTTTAAATAAAATAAATATTAATTCAACTTAATTTAATGTTTGTAAAAATGTACTCTAGCCAGTTTTAACTTATATCTAGGGGGATTCATGGAGTTCGATTTGAATTGGTTAAAATAAATATTAAATTAATTTAACTAATTAATATTAGAGTTATAATTACACAATCATAGTAATTTAGCTAAGTTATACTACAGTCATTAAACACCAAAGATCAAAAGATCAAGTCTTTATAGCAAAAAATGGTAAAGTTAAAGATTTAGATTCATTAAGTTTAGCAAAAAATATTATATTTATTCATGAATAATAATTATAAAATTTGTATATATAATTTGTCGGTTGGTTCGATTATTTTTGTGATTCTTTTAGTAAAATCAAAATCAATCTAAATAGTATCGATTTTTGAAATAGAACTACCTTTTAATCCAATACCAAATATTGATTTTATTCGTATTTTAATTTTTAACTATAATCATGAATAACCTTACTTACCACTTAAAAAAAGGAAGAAGGATCAAATATGCCCCTAAACTATTTGAAAAGGTTTAGATATACCCTCCGTTTAAAGATTGGTTCATTTATACCCTCGCCGTCCAACTTTTGGTCTACATATGCCCTTTTGAGCGTTAGTTGGCCAACTCGGAATATCCAACTCATTTTACTTTTATTTAAATGCCAAATGGATTTTCCACGTCATTTTTATTATAATCACTTGACATTTATATTCAAGAGAAAATGGTCAAATATGCCCCTAAACTATTCAACAGGTCTAGATATACCCCGTTTAAAGTTTGGTCAATTTATACCCTCGCGTCCAAACTTTTGGTCTACATATGCCCTTATGGTTGTTAGTTGGCCAATTCGAGATATCCAACTCATTTTACTTTTATTTAAATGTCAAATGGATTTTTCACATCATTTTTATATATTATTACTTGACATTTATATTAAAAGAGAAAGGGGTCTTTTATGCCCCTAACTATCCGACCTAATTTTAAAACACATATATGACCCGTCTTTTAAGTAATCTATACAACCTGACCTTTTTTTTAAATATCATATATGGGTCGGATTAGGGCATAATTGAACCATTTAAATGGCGAACACTATCGTGCTCCGATTGGAACTGCCGAGGAATCAATGACACGACAACTAAAGGAAAAGGAAGTCGAGGTTTGAAAAGCGTTTAGGCGCAACGCAGAGCTGGAGGCGCAAATCTGGCAGGCAAGGGCTAGAGCAGAGGAATTCACCGCAACAACGTTGGAATTCCGCAACAACGTTACAGACACAACTGCAAGCTGCAGCAGGCCATGATGATGTAAATAACAAAATAATTCACACATATATGAGTCGGATTAGGGGCATAATTGAACCATTTAAAAGATGGTCGTATATGTGTTTTAAAATTGGGTCGGATAGTTAGGGCATAAGTGACCCCTTTCTCTTTTAATATAAATGTCAAGTGATAATATATATAAATGATGTGAAATCCCATTTGGCATTTAAAGAAAAGTAAATTGAGTTGGATATTTTGAGTTGACCAACTAACACCCATAAGGGCATATGTAGACCAAAAGTTGGACGCGAGGGTATAAATGGACCAAACTTTAAACGGGGGTATATCTAGACCTTTCGAATAGTTTAGGGGCATATTTGACCCTTTTCCCTTGAATATAAATGTCAAGGGATAATACATAAAAATGACGTGGAATATCCATTTGGCATTTAAATAAAAGTAAAATGAGTTGGATATTCCGAGTTGGCCAACTAACACCCAAAAGGACATATGTAGACCAAAAGTTGGACGGCGAGGGTATAAATGGACCAAACTTTAAACGGAGGGTATATCTAAACCTTTTCAAATAGTTTAGGGGCATATTTGACCCTTTTCCCTTTAAAAAAAAAGAGAATACCTAAAATTAACTATGACGTAAAACCACAAATCAACCTCAGGAGGCTAATTTTTTTTATATCTAATATTCATATTGATGTATGATTAAATTTATATTGATGTATGATTAAATTTAAAATTACGTTAAAAAATTTCATATTTAATGTAAAATATTCTCTAACTAAATAATTTTATATTAAAAAAACTCAAATTCAAAATTATTAATTAAAAATATAAAACTACAGTTGCTCCCACATCTATTTATGATGAGAAAATTACCAAAAACTATGTTTCGAAGTTCGTGCCATGCAGGCATGGGGAGTTGGTTAATCCGAATTCCATACCGCCAACCCAAAATACATTTTCTAGAGAGATCATTCCCAAATTCAAGGATTTTTAAAATAAAAATTAATGAAAATAATATCTTATAAAATTGATCTTATTTTAATAAGAATACTTTCAAATTTACTACTTACTACTTTATATAGTATTTTAAATCTAATAATAACAAGCAAATTATTTATATGTCTATTAGGCAAAATTTTTAGAAAGTTGAAAGTGTTCATTTTAAAAAATAAATATTCATTGCATGGAGTTGCGTCTGATCAAGCTTTAATAAGTAGGAAAAAGGAATATACTTTTAAGTAGTAACAAAAGCTGAAAAAAGTAGTTTTTCTCTTTAAAAGCATTTTTGGAGTGCTTCTCAAGCACATAATGTTCTTTGTTAGGTCAGTTTAAAATCGAAAAATTAAACTGATTTAGGATAGAATTTCATATTTTATTGCTGATAGTCTCAAACTTTTGATTATTCTATAATATTTTAGTGTTTTTTTTGAGCAAAATGCAATCAATCGACTCATGTGCATGATTTATTTAGTTTATCTCCATGTTTCTAATTTCTAAGTGATTTTTAATCATTTATTTTTTTGTATCAAATTTTAACAATTAACCCGATAACGATCAATAACTGATAAAACGATAACTGATAAGTCAATATCTTGATGATTCGTAACGATATATCATGTTTACTCGATAAATCGAACCGAACCGACTTATATATAACCCTACTTCTAATATTGATAAAAAGAAATTAATTAATTATTCAAACACAAATAATTACTCTTCAAAAGTTTTTAAAAATAATCTTACAGAACTTCTTGTATAAAGATTTTGGAAGTTTGACCAAGTGGCCTAAGTAAAATAATTTTTATATCAAAATAACAAAAATAAACTAAAAAAAACCAATCTAAATATGCCCATAATTACTTTAATATATCAAAAAGCAAAAACATTGACCAATTCAAATTGGGGCTTATTTTCCAAAAAGAGGAGGATGAGAAATAGCTTACGCGACCTAGACTCGATGCGGGTAAGTATTATATAGACCAATTCTTAGGCTAAGTTTTACCCCTTCAATCGTCTGGTTATTTTATTTTTTTTCCTTTTCCGTTTGACACGCAAATTTAGACTCTTTGGACTACAATCAACATTGAATTTCCATATTCTACTTGATGCCTTGTGATGCATTAAGTGCTTCTAACCCTTTTACGATTTATAGATCACACGAAAATAACTTTATAATTTATAGGTTCATATAAAATTGAAACGTAACAAGAACATATAAGTAATGTTTATTAAATCCATTACAGAGGTTAAAAAAACAAGATTGCCTGCAATCTGCTTAAATAATAAAAACTACAAGTACAAATAAATTTGCTCTTCATCAATATCATTATCTGCCACTGTTACTTGTCAAGACACCTCGATCAAAAAAATACCACTATCTATTTCTACTTATATATCAATTGGGTGCATTTCACTTAACAAAATGCAGATTATCTCGAATCTGAACTCCATCAATGACAATCTCGTTTTAAAAAACCAAAAAAAAAAAAACAACAATTCGTCATACACTGATAGTTTAAAAGTTAATTTCGCGCCTCTCAGCGAAGAACTTACCACTCACAAATTGATCAGGGAGCAAAGCAAGCCATACAGCAGTATCAGCAGCTTCTTCAATAGTAACATGCCCTGCCCAGCCAGTCATAGCAGTTTTCACCCATCCCGGACAATAACAATTTATGTATATTTTTTCACCTTCTGGTCGTTCCTCGAATATCCTTGCCATTAACCTTGTGTAGGCATTAACTGCTAGCTTTGACAATGAGTAGTCTGTGAACACATGAGGCCATCCTGCTGATTCCCAAGTTCCATCTTTTACTTGCTCCAAAAATGTGTGCATAGTTTTATCGATAACTTCCTCAGATAGCGTATCCACGTTTTCTAATTGTTCTCTCACTGCTACATTTGAAATTCCCTGGTAGAAGCATCAACCAAAAAACAGAGTCAGGCCCTAAACGGGAGGGTATGTAAAAAAAGATATGAGGTGATCACACACTGCAATGTTATAATGAAATAGCGGAGGTGTTACTTACATTTCGTTTGCTATTAAGTCTACCCAATCGCGAGGTGACACTAACAATACGAGAGCCAGCAGGGGAAGGCCTCATCAACGGAGTAAGTGCTTTGATCATGTTTTTGGTGCCAAAATAGTTAACTTGGATTACCATTTCAGAAAATTCAACAGAATTATCTTTTCCGCAATTGAAATTGACTCCTGCATTGTTGATCTACATACATATCATCATTAGCTTTATTTATGAAAGTAAATTAAATTTCTAAAAACGAACAAAATTAATTACCAGTATATCTAGGCCACCATATGTTTCTTTAATCCAATCACAAAATGTTTGAATTGATACAGGATCCACAATATCCAATTGATGAAATGCCACATTTAGACCTCCTTCCTGAAAGACTTTCACTGCTTCTTCTCCAACAGCTGTCTCTCGCGACGTGAGAACAACAGTAACGCCATGTGATGCAAGCTGATGAGCAATTTCAAATCCAATGCCTCTATTTGCGCCCGTAACAACCGCAATTGTTTCAGATGACCACCATCTATAAAATCACGCAAAAACACGATCAGCATTATGCTCAAAATAAAAAAATATATCAGATCAAACATATTTGAACTCACTAACTTTAAATCTTAGATTCGCCTCTGCTCGAGAAGCTAAGATTGAATTTTTATTTAAAAAAAAGAAAGAAGAGACCTTTGGTGATCAGAATAGGGAATAGTACGTAGAAGGGAGATCTCCTGGCGTCTTTTCTCCTTTTTTTCCTTTGCCCTTTCCTTTTTATCCATTATTATTACTAGTATTATTTTCAATTTTGATTCTGATTCCGATAAATTAAATTGTATTTGTCATCTATCTATCTATTCTGCAGCTGCATTAATTCATTCACTAATTTGTTAGAGAGAAAGAAAGGTAGCTAGGAGAAGAGATGTAACAGAAACACCGAAATTCTTCCGATATATTTGGAGCAATCCTACAGCGTTCGTTTCAACAATATTCATTGGTTCTAAACGAAACAAAAATAAATTTCAAGGCGATTTTTTAAACACAGGTAAACATTTAAGAAAGGTAACCTCAAAAAATAAATATTTACAGTCTTTAGTGTATATCAATTATTTTTCTTATTATAAAATGAAATTTGTATCGCATATTGTTGAATTTTATCATATTTACTTCGAGAATTTTTGCTTGAGTTGTAAAGGGATTTAAGGCCGTACTTGTTTTAACAAATTAATAATTTTCTTTAATATGTTATCTATTGTTTCAAATTTTTTATTTACTTAAAGGTAAAAGTAATGATTCGCAATGTTATGTCACATATTTATAGCCATGCGTACTTTTGACGCCTTACGTTATAGTTATACGATGGTGTTTATTTTTAATTATAAATAACTTTTTTATAGAACATAAATTTATATTTTCATATCATATTATTTCAGGTGGCGTTGTATAAAATTTGTGTCCTTGTAGATAAATATATGATAATTAAAAATAAAAATTTAAGACAAATTAAAAATCAATATATTTATAAACCAAAAATCGTCTATTTTTACTTTTTTCGTTCTGTTTAATTTGGGATCAACTTCGGGTTGAATTATACCCGAATAAAGAAGTGTTCACGGACGGGTATAGTGGATGTTACAACGCCACGCCATTAGGCAAAAACCACCTGTTAAACCCCAATCGAGATCAAATTTGAAGTTCCCATTGATTCTCAATAGAGCTTAACTAGTTGCTCGCTGCAGAGAAGAAATGGCGAATTTGCGAAGGGCACTTCTCTTCACCATTCCTCGAATCATCAATTCCTCTAAAACAGCATCTGTTGCAACCTCCACACTCCAGTCTCACAATCTCTACAGGTACAGAAATCTACCTTGTCTTACCCACTATATGTTTGTTATGTGTTGAAAAATATCTTTTTTTTGTATGCTCAATTAGGCCTTTAGCTGGAACATTTTCGCGTTTTATTTCTTCTAATGAGACTTCATCGCCGATGAATATCGATCTTTCCGACGAAGAGAGCAAAAGACGTTTGTTTAACAGGTGAATTTGAGTTTTTTATTTTTCGATATGTGAGACTCTGGGTTATATGATCCTCTGGGCGGCGGACTGGTTCATGATATCTTAATGGTGTTTTTATTTTGTTATGTAAATAGGCTTATTTATCGTAGTAAACAGAGAGGTTACCTGGAGCTAGACCTTGTTCTTGGAAAATGGGTGGAGGAACATATACAATCCATGGATGAAAATGGAATTAAGTCCCTTGTTCATGTCCTTGACCTGGTAATTCTTTTTATATTTTTTTCATTATAATTATTTTTATGTTTTCGCGTTCTCATATGGATTTATCATGGTGTATGTCAATAATTAGATATCATAACTTTTGATGCTCTAGCTTGTAGTAGGAGTTCTATGATCTTGATTTGAAGTGAATAATCTAGAAATTTTCTGCTATGTTATTGTTAGCCTGACATCTTCTATTGAACCTTAACCCTAAAGTTTGATAAAGATGTAGAATTGTCAGCAATGGCTCTCGTCTCCAGCAAAGAAGAACATAATAGATCGAAAATCCTCCATCAGTAGATCCTCAATGTCATCAATCTGCCATTGCTGACTTCTTTAGATTTAAATATGTTGTGCCTCAATTTAAGATCAAATAAACCACATTCTGCAGCTCAGTTTTTTTTTTTGAGAAAATTCTGCAGCTCAGTTTCACACATGCTCAAACTGGTGGTCGAGTTTTCAAGCTTGATCTTCATAAGACTAGATGATTAAATCTGAATACAATAAACGAAAAATGGCATTTTCTCCGAATTGAACCTTGTATATGTCATGTATATTGCCTCTTAAAGGGAAATCAGGCAAGCTTCTGCGAACAATAAGAATCAACCCGATGTTAATCAAGACTTATAATAGCCTACTTGTACTGGTTGGAGTCTGCCACAACAGGTGTCTGCAGTTCTCTCCGTCTTTTTCCCTTTCCTAGTCCCGTCGCATCAGAGACTAAGACTCCTGCAAATAAATTGGCCCTTTCTTACTCTCTGTATTGAACCCCGTGGTTATAACTTCTTCATGTACAACTTTGGATCAAATGATATGACTTCCATCGATTTTTTTTGTTGCTTGCTAGCAGTTCTTTGGTCATTGATGAATTACATTCTTGTTCTGAAGAGTAGACATTTATTTGTTGGTTCGTGGTTGAAAAATTAAGCTTTGCAAACTTCTGAGGAAGTAGCAGCAGAACAGAGTAAAGCACCAAGGTCAAATTATATGGGTTTAAAACTGATTTAACAGCTTATCTAAACATGTTCATTATGAGATCATTACTTTTTTTTTAACGAAACTAACTGGAGGATGTAACCTACTACTTTTTAGGATTGTTTGGGATGTTTTTTGTTTAACATGAATATAGAATGATGTGGGTTGGGAGTTTGGGATATAGTTAAGGGATACTTTTGGCCATTTACTCTCATTTGACTAAGCTTGGGTTCAGGCTTTAGGAAGAGCAAGCATAATTTTGGGGAGGTGGATCCTTGACTATTTGAGTTAATGCCTTGGGTGTCTTGCTTCTTGGTGTTTTAGTTTTAGCAAACGATAGTCGGCCTTCCCTGCATAAACTTTTACTTGTACTTTTAACTGCTTAGTCAGCATTGGGCTTAATCTTTCTTATTACAATTACTTACGAAGGGAAGTACTGTACCATGTGAGTATTTGCTTCTTTTTGTGTTCCTACTTTGCCCATCCCCCCACTCACCCCATATTAAGAGAGTAAAATATTATGTTATGCATATCCCTTATAGCGTGTAAGAATTGGGTAGTTTTATGTATGAGTTCCTACTTATTTTTTGTGGCCGAATTTGGACTCAAAATCCTCCCCCTTCACCCCAGGGAACTCAGAAACATGTTGGGTAAAGGAAAACCAAGAAGTTAAGGAATGTAAGATTAAGACATACAAAAAGGAGGCAGGAGAAAAAGGATTAGATTAAGAGGTGGGAAGGTTGGTTGAGGATTAGAATGTGACCAGTCCAGTCCAATATATTCAGCAATCATAGAATATATGCACCACATTGACTTGATATTAACAATCATCAAAATATATAAAGCTTATTTAGAATATATTTGCGTACATTAAGAATCAACCCGATGTTAACCAAGACTTGTAATAGCCTAGTGTACTGGTTGGAGTCTGCCACAATAGGTGTCTGCAGTTCTCACTGTCTTTTCCCTTTCCTACTCCCGTCAGATCATCCTGCAAATAAATTGGCACTATCTTACCCTCTATATTGAACCCAGTGGTTATAACTTCTTCATGTTCGACTTGGGATCAAATGATTGACTTTCATCGATTTTTTTGTTGTTTGCTAGCAGTTCCTTGGTCATTGATAAAATTACATTCTTGCCTGAAGAGTAGGCATTTTTTTGTTGGTTCGTGGTTGAAAAATTAAGCTTTGCAAACTTCTAAGAAAGTAGCAGCTGAACAGAGTAAAGCACCAAGGTCAAATTATATGGGTTTATAACTGATTTAACAGCTTATCTAAACAATGCACATTATGAGATCTTTACTTTTTTTTACCAAAACTAACTGGAGGATGTAACTTACTACTTTTTAGGATTGTTTGGGATGTTTTTTGTTTAACGTGAATATAGAATGATGTGGGTTGGGTTTGGGGTATAGTGAAGGTATACTTTTGGCCATTTACTCTCATTTTTACTGTGCTCATAGGATGTATATTGATTAGGAAGTTTCAATTTTTCTTTTCTACTTGAGTAGACTGTGAACGAAATTGTGCAGTAATTTCATAAAGTTCAGTATTGACGATTTTACTGTTTTGTGCATCTATTTTATTTTATAGGATAACATGTCCACCTTTATTTCTTATTATTACTTTTTTTCCTGAACATGAGGGCGGTGGATCCATGACTATTTGAGCTAATGCCTTGGGCTAACATGAGTGTCTTGCTTCTTGGTGTTTTTAGTTTTTAGTAAACGATTGCATAAACTTTTACTGGTACTTTTAACTGCTTAGTCAGCATTGGGCTTCATCTTTCTTAGAAAGTACTGTACCATGTCAGTATTTGCTTCTTTTTGTGTTCCTACTCTGCCTACCCCACTCACCCCTAATTAAGAGAGTAAATATTATGTTATGCATATCCCTTGTAGCATGTAATAATTGGGTAGTTGGATGTATTAGTTCCTACTTATTTTTTGTGGCTGAATTTGGTCTCAAAATCCTCCCCCTTCACGCCAGGGAACTCGGAAACATGTTGGGTAAAGGAAAACCAATAAGTTAAAGGAGTGTAAGATTAAGGCATACAAAAAGTGAGGCAGGAGAAAAAAAATTAGATTAAGAGGTGAGAAGGTTGGTTGGGGATTAGAATGTGACCAGTCCAGTCTGATATATTCAGCAATCATAGAATATATGCACCACACTGACTTGATATTAACAATCATCAGAATATATAAGTTCAATTTTTGTTCAAATGCCATAATTTGAAATGCAATTGTATTCTCTCTGACTCTTCCGATGATGGTTTTCTCATCCTTTTCCATCAGTTAATATCTTTCTCAACCCTCTTTGCTTTGCCCCACTCCCTCCTCCAACAAAATAATGAAGAAAAACAAACACAAATAATCTGTTTAGATGCAGTAGAATGGTCGTAACTGGTCAAATCTCCTTTGTGAAGATTAACCAGAGCCGTCTTATTCAGTTTATTCTATTTATATCTGTAGGAGAATCCAGATTTGTGGAAGTGGCTGACTGGTCAGGAGCAACCCCCAGATGCAATAAGCACAAATCCTGTGAGCCTTGAACCTTGTAGAATGAATACTTCGATTGTTTTATTTTAACATATAATTCATCTGATGTGTACTTGTGGTGTAGGTGTTTTCTGCTGTGCATGAAAAGGTTATGAACAACCTTAACAATCATACTTCTCCCGAGACTCGTGCTGTTCCAGGAAAACCTTGGGTGAGAGGGTGGGATGATATCAAGAGAGGCCGTGATGCACCTATAGCTGGGAACCAGTAGTTATTTTTCTGCTTGAAGGTGTCAAAGAAGAACTGATTTGTAGTCTTGTATAGGGACTCGTTATTACTATGTATGCGTTTTACTCAACAAATAATAGGATGTCAGTTCTGTTTGAATAAGACCTCAGTAATGTGATGTTAGATGCTGAGTGCTAGCCTTACCTGCACCCATATTCTTATAATAGCTTGATTGCTACATAACTATTATTCTTATATTATAATAGCTTGATTTCCTGTGGTGTTTGCTGATTCGTATAAGTAGTTAAAGAGGGGCAATTTTAGGTTATTAAGTGTTGGGATCTATTGTATGCTGTCTAATGTTTTTTTTTTTTTTATATCACCCAAATTATTGCTACCTTATCTACTTTTTTTTTTTTTAATATGAGCCAACAAAAGGTAAAGTCGAAACTAACAGGGATATCCTCTATCTCCGCCTTTGTAGTGAGAGAAATAAAAAATGTTGATTTCAGAGAAATCCATTACAATTTCCGTTCTACTTCTCATCCTCTTCGCGGCGTCTTCCCTGTGCTTCACCGTCAGCATTGCTTCAGAATCCGGCGACCCAATACCTACTATATGGCCGGAGCAATTTCATTCGATTCTCTTCATGAACAACAGCAAGGGGAATCTTCAAATCGTTGATTTGTGGTACGATTACCCTAACGGCCGGAACTTCAACATTATCCAAAATCAATTGGGTAAACTCCTTTACGATTTGGAATGGAATAACCACACTTCGTTCTACTACACTTTGGACGGTAGCAAAGAGTGCAGGGTCATGCATTTTCCGGTGGGACTCCTTAGACCCACTTGGCTACAAGACGGAAATTATCTGGGACAGAGATATATGGATGGATTTCTCTGCAATGTCTGGGAAAAAGTTGATTTCATTACCTACTACGAAGATGTTGTTACTAAGAGACCTGTTTACTGGGCTTTTTACACAGGTAATGACGTAAACTAGAAGTGTTTGAACTTTAGCATATTTTTTTAGAGTACATTGTGAAATTTTCTTTTTAAACAATTTGGCAAAACAGAAAAAATAATTTTCGTGTCATCAACTGTGTGAATGAAATTCTCTCATATGAACATTGTAAATTCAGTAAATTTCAATGATTTGGGTAGAGTTTGCTCGTACTGTGTCAGCGTATAAAACTTTTTTTTCAAATGTATTTCACCTTTTGTGAGACAGAACAGAAGCTCTTAACCAAAGAAATTTGGGTTAGTGCAGGTATGATTGCACATGTAATGACATTTGAAGTAGGAAAAGTGCTAGAGGATCCAAATTGGCAAGCCCCTGTTTACTGTTTCAAAGAGGCAAAAGAAGAAGAAGAGATATCATCTCCTGTTAGGTTGGTTACTGATAATGATGTTTCCATTGGTAGACTCATGGGAGCAGCTATGGATGTTTCTTTACTGCTCTAATTCTTGTTGCATTTCCATGTTTGTTCTTCATGATGTTGTACCTTTGAACCGTAGCACGAACCGGTAACAACTTATTTGTATTCATGTTTATACCAAGCCAATAAATGAACGATATATATCTGCACAAAAAAAAAAGAATTAGCAATCAACTTAGAACCATGATTAATTAGTAAATTTACATAATCTAAGGATAAAGCTTGCGACATTTGCGCGAACTATTGATGCTCAATACTCACTTATTGCAGCAACTAGTATAGCTGTTAGTGGTGACTAAGGTTGCTGCTAATACATACTATTAATAGTAATATTAGGAGCACAAAAGTAACTATGAAAACATATTTATTGGCAACTAATACTAATATTTGCGGCAGACAAAGTTGCCACTAATACAAACTTAGGCAACAAATATGTGTATTCGCGGCGACTAAGTCATCACAAATGAGTTTTTTTTTAAAAAAAATATAAATATGCATGTTGATTTTCGTGAACTTCTGTTTGACCTGAAATTTTGTGAGTCTATACGTCTTACCAGGTTCATAATTTATTTTTGACGTGTCAATATTTATTCATGGATTATCTTATACATATTAAGTTTTTAAAATTCATTTGTAAATTTCAATTCATCCTTCGGTGGCACATTTCTTTTCTTTTATGACTAGTGATGTTGCTTTGGCCACACTTAAAGACTTCTACAAGTGCTTTCATTTTTTGTCGTCTCAACTCTTAAGAGAATTCGACTTTCTTCTATTATGACATTGAGTTTTTTTCTTTTCTCAGCACAGTAGTAATGATGTGATGAAAGTCAATTAGTATAGTGACATCTTTTTTCTTTTTAATAAACGGACGATTCAACATCATAATTCATAAATACCATTGCCCCCACTTGCGTTACCAAAAGAGTACAGTTGAAATTGAAAGGTCTTTTGAAGACGTGATGGAATTGATGTTCTGAGAATAACAAAGAGTAATTGGCCATTCCATTTAGCATTTGAGGAATTCATATGCATGAGATTTGAATTATTTGACGCAAAGTTCTATAGAAAACAACCTGTCTACCTCATATTAGACAAGCGTAGAGCTTGCGTTCACACTATCCTCCCATGAGATCATACTGGTATTCTAATCATACCACGATATCTGTATATTTAAAGACTGATTCAGACTCTATACTTTTCAGGTCTTATTTTGCATACAACAGTTTGTTTAAACAAAGACAAATTAGCAATTTCATATTTCCATCACTATAGAAGTGGAATATATAGAATGAATGGATAGAATAAACAATTATACATAGAAGAACTCCAATACAAAATTTAACAATCTCCTTGATGTGTTAAACAGAAGATGATGACATTGTTATTGTGTCCACTTGAATCTAGGAAGTGTTGTTGACATAGAAGTATAAAGCAGCAAGTGCAACAACTCCAACTCCAATAGCAATAGGCAGTATGTTCCTACACCAACGGAGAATCATCGTTGATTTGAATTCAAATTAATTAACTGATAGAGAGAAGAGTAAGTATGAAAGTTAGAAGTTACCCAACAGCCTCATCTCTCTTTAACTGTTCTTTCCGGGCCTTACGAACATCAGTCGAATTAGCATCTTTGGTTACTTTAGGTTCATACGCCCTGAATCTTCTTTTTGGAGCTCCACATACTGAATTCACAAATCAAATTGAAGTCTAAGAAATCTAAATCGCAACTTGCAATCTCAAGATCATAGCTAACAGGTAACATCAAGGAATGTGGTGGGATAATGGGATCTCTCTCCTTAACTAGAGGTCTCGGGTTTGAGACCTGGAAATGGAGAAACCTCTGGTAGGGAGAGGTTTCTACACGAAGTGGATTCGGATTAGTTAGGCTGACACCATATGGCTATACCGAGAACAGAAAAATTGAAGCAAAAAATAGTGAACCTCCGGATAAGGGATTAACGGTCACAAAGCTAGTTGACAGGATATTGGTAACTAATTGCGACGGCATGCTTCACTATTTTGAACAAATACAATCAAGATAATGTCAGATACTGAATTACTGAACTTCACATTCGATTATAACGTCGATTATTATAAAAATAACATACCTGGGCAGAAGTATTTGTCAGGTAATTTCTCAAAAGGAGTTTTGTCATTGTAAATATACCTGCACGCATCACATTCATCACAAACCTATCAGATTATGTAAGCAACACATAAAGAAAGAAAAAGAGTCCTGACTACTACAAATCCAGAAAGTAGCAATCAGCCAATTTAGACTAATTTTGTTAGTTCAATTGATCAATTGAAGTGTAGTATATACATCTTATAATAATATAAAATACAGTCAGACCTCTCTATAACCGTCATTCTATAATAACATTTCACTAAAACTGTCTAGTTTTCACCTTGTGTTCTCAATAATAACATTGCATTGTAACAACCACAAGTAGTAGTACTAGAGATAGCTTGATGGTATATATTGAACTTACTGATTCTAGATCTTGAATTCACATAACAAAAGGAAGTAGAAAGAACTCAGGGATTCTTAGTAAAAGAAGATTTACCCGCAATCCCGGCAAATATAGGCTTGCTTGGAGGTAACGCGCATGGAGATTTTCGGGGCAGTAGCAGGAGCTGCTCTAGAGAATGATGGAGGAGGGAGCAAGAGATGAATTGATGGAGAAAAAAATGAAGATTTTAGGGCTAAACCATTTGGTGCCTGTCTGAGGCCACCATTGGGGGCTAAATTAGCTGGAATTCTAGTGGGTACTTGCAGGGCGGCCATTGCTTATACAAATTGCCCTTTCTTCTAGCTCGACTCCCTTTGCAGTTTCTGTTGCTCGCTATCTGTTTGATAAAATGCCCAAACGAAGAAACAAGTAGTAGAAGAAGATTGAAAATAAGTGGGTGATGATGTTTCAGTGGTAAAATTTGCGTTTCCCTCATACATAATCCCTACAACTATCTACAAAACTGTACGTGGAACGCGTGGCTGTCGTTGTTTATTTTAGGGAAAAAAAGGGCTCAAATATAAAATTAAACTTTCAGAAAAAATTTGACCAATTATCATTTTAAGAAAAAAATTATAATGGATCTATTATTAAAAAAATAAATTAAATTTTTAACTAATAATATAAATGAGACTTTTCTAAAAATTAATTCTAAGCCTTTTCTTTTATTTTATGATTTTGGTGTTTCAATCAGTTTATACTGAATCTCATTTAATTTTACATTATATTTGTTATTTTTATACAAAAGCATATGTATAAAGACTCGCGTAATATTTTTATTTCTGCTAAAATTAAATTATTAACCTTATATTCACTTTATTTACAAGTAAGCCCAACACGCTTGTGGTGCGAACGCGTGGCTGTCATGCTCCCCACTCAATACCTTTGCCACTCACTTTTTGGACCCTTTTTCTTATCTTCTCGTCCCTTCTTTTTTATCGAAAGTGGTCGATCAATAAAATGTTGTTATTTTCGATGACGAAAAATTTAATTATTAATATTTAAAATATAAATTAAAAAATAACTTGTCATAACATGGACATTGCAATGAGTCATGTTCTGTTACTTACATGAAATTATGCAGAAATTTGCTAGCAATAATATATGTGAAGATTTGGATGAATTTGTGATGCAAAATGTTTTATTAGATGAAGAGGATGTTTTGGTTTGTGAATGTGAGATACCAGCAGATTTATGTCCAGGAAAAAAAAATTCAATTTTTTTTTAAATAACTTGAATTATTATAATAAAAAATAAAGGTGTTTTTATTTAATTATTGTTGTTTTTTCTTCTTTTATTATGTATTTATGTAAAATTTGTGTTTAATT